CACACACTCAGCCGCGTTGCGGCGCTCTAGCATAAAAACCTAAATAGGCACCTAAAAAGCCTTAGAAAAGAAAGAAAGAAAAACAGAAAGAGCAGCGCTAAAAGGGCAGGAGAGAAAGATAGGTGTAGTAAAAGGTGAATACTTAGCCCTTGACTGGGGCAGGGAAACGAACCTCAAGAACCACCTAAAAAGCCTGAAAGAAAGCCCAACAAACGACGAAAACCGCAAGAAGGAAAGCGGGGGGCAGGGAGGGGGTGTATGTCCATGTGTGTGTACACGTGTGGGTCTGAATACTTAGCACTCTAGAGTTACTGATTACTTAGCGGAAACGAATTAGGTGCACTAGTTAGGGAGCGGGACTTTAGTCTTAAACCGCCCGGGTAGAGTAGACTAGAAAAGGGACAACAGAGGGAAAGGCACCGACGCACAAGTGTGTCGAGTACCGTTTCCCTCTGTTACCCTAATTAGAAGGAGGGGGGGGGTTGGGGTGTGTGGGTAGAGAACGCGTTTGGGCTTAGTCTCCGTGAGCCCGGTGGCTTTGCATTTCCAAGAAGCCCGGCGGCTTTTGTTTTTGGGAATACAGTAGTGAAACGAAAGTCCGTTAAGATAATCCAACGTATGCAGAAAACGGCAGAAGCTGTTAGTGGTAGTCTGGAGTGAAATCAGCGCCCCAGTGACGGGGATCACACCCTGCACCCAAGTGGGACGGCAGAGCGGCGCACACTCTGACAATGGGCTTGCAGTTAACTCAGTTCCCAGGTCGAAAAAGGTGATGGAACCGCGAGGTGGAAGGGTCAGCGCACTTGAAATGTTGAACAATTTGTTAAACATGTCTGCGGTGTCGAGCGTCAGCGCGACTCAGCTGCAGGAAGCGCGACAGAAGAAAGGTTTAAGGGAGGTATCATGCAAACCACCATGGAAGCAAAACAAGGAAAAATGGGGTGACAGCTTGTGAAAAACTCAGCAGGTACATGGTTGAGCGTCCTCAACCACTTCCCTTCCAGTGACCCAGCTTCGTTGGATCAGGTTAGTCACTGGAAGCCTGATCCCCTGCGTGTAGAAACTCTTGGAAACAGAGTGTGGCGCACACACACACACACACACTTAGGATAGGGTGTACTGAACTGAGCGGTGCCACACGCCAGCCTAGGGTTCCATTTCCTAAGAGTATCAGTAGGAAGCCATCGAATCCTGGGGGTCTTCAAAAGGAAAGGTGGCCCAAAGCGTAAGAACGAGGTCGGCGATCAGGTCGAAGTGACGGCGTTCCGCGCGTGACTGCCGCAAACTTTAAAATTGTTGCAGGTACGTTCCCGAGGCGTCCCTCAGGAATATCACATCCGATCAGCAGTGTCTTTGTTAGGCAGTGACTGCTGAAAGGACCACTGCCCCCCCTGCTAAAAAGAAAAACAATTCAACGGAATCCCTGTGATTACAAGGGGTACACACACACACGGTGGGCGGCTTTGGCGTAATAGGATTTATGCGTTCCAGGAGTTTGGCAAGAGCGGATTATGGAGTGTGAAATAATTGCAAATATGGGGCCCAAGTCGTTTTTTTTTCGGGTCCTTGTCGCATCAAACATGTTTGTTCACTCACCAATCACATCGTTTTCACGAGATCTGGGTCGATGGTCGATTTGGTCTATTGAGGTCAGTTCGTGGAACTAGTGGAATCCGGTTGTAGAGCCTGTCATTGACGTCACATGGCCTAGTTTTTCCATGTTTTTCTTCGCTCCGACCAAACACATCAGTAGCCCAATGGGATCCTTGTTGACAGACTGGGATGTTGGCAGCATGGATTTGGGCAAGGCCACTAGTTCGCTGAGTGTTGCATAGCTAGCGCTTGTCACTCCAGCAGCAATCAAAGGGAGACTTTCGACGGGATGATCATGCGCAGTGATTCCACCATATTGATTCACATTGTAGCAATGCAACCATTAGATCATTATATAATTCTCCGCTTGTCGCCTGCTAAGGCCAGAGGGTCCCTGAAGACTTGTGCCGCGCTGAACACGATTCGTGTGAAGATTTAGAGTTGTTGACGGATGAGAGTGGCACATGGGTATTCACATGGGTGGCACCTTGCAGGATGGGTGGCACCTTGCAGGCTGCCCAGAGTCGGGTTCAACTCTTTGTAGTTCTTGTACGATGGATGACATCTGGACCAATCGAACAGATTCAAAACGCGGAGCGTTTTTTTTTTTCGCCGGCCATGCATCAACGGGGGAATTTGCAGGATGAAACAGTCGGAACATGACATGTATTGACTCGGAAACCCTTTGGAGTTTGTGTTGAAGGGCGAGAAATTGACAACTATTGAGTAGGTTTGTCCCAAATGTGTCTCCAGAACCTACTCAAGTACTGCAAGTATCTCACCATCTCACACCCGCGCCCAGGTCGGCTGCGTTCCTCTCCAGAGTTTTCTCAGCTGTGTTCCGTTTACAGACCCAGCTTTGTCCAGTTTTGCTAAGCAAGGCTGTGACACATGGGGATGTCTCAAAATCAGGGAACCCTTCGCCCAGTGGGTGTTCATCAGTTTCCCTCGTACAAGGGATCTTTGCGGGGTCGGTTTTCATTTTAAGACAACCCACATCCTCCCAGTGGATCCTTGACTTATCTTGACTTCACTAGGCAATGCCAAGCAGTTTCCCTTTTCGTGGCCTTTTGAGCATGATCGGATCCACTGGGTGTTGTACAGAGAGATCTCCATTGCCATCAATTGCGGTGGAAAACAGCCATTCGTGGCGTGGAGGAGTGGAGTCGAACGGTTTTCTCAAAGAACGGCACTCGTTTGACCTGTCGATTCCAGAATGCCGATTGTTCTGCAGGTTTCTTACTTGCCAATTTCTTTACTGTACACCAAAATGCATCCAACAACGGCCTTCCAGGCTCATACACACATTGCTCTTCATTGCTCGCGGTTTTGGCTGGCCATGTTCACCACACCCGATCTGCATCCAACGGGGTCCCAGGATTTGCATCCCCGTGTCCATCTCCCGTTGAGATTTAATGTTGCCCTTCTCGCTCGTCAGGCTGGTAGATGAGTCCTTGAAGTCATGCCATCGCCTTGGCGTCTGAGCGAAGGTCTTCTCGCGCGACGGTCGCCGCGGCAGTCACCAAAAAACGAGGAAGGACGTCGGCAATAAAAGGAAGGCTTTGCCGGACCGTCGCTGAAAGTGTCTCAATGAAGGGGGAGAAGCAGCTGGACCGCGGAAAGATGCCGGCTCGGTGATGCCAAGCAGAAAGAAGTAAAGATGGACTATGATGATGAAGTGTTCTAATTGTGCAACACAGAATGCATCAAGTGGCAGCCCATCCGGATGTTTTTGCACATTCTCCTCGAACTTTGAAAAGGTTTCCAATGGTTTCCACTTCCCAATATGCCAGTCAGCTATGTACCATGAACCAAAAGGTTCTTTCTGTCAGGAGAATTGGCGTTGGTTCCTATTGTGTGTGTGGGAGGCAGTGTGTCAGGATCAGAGGGTTTGATTCCAAGATTGCAGGCTAAATGCGATTCTCACATTTTCCCACACCTTGCAGTTCGCAGAAATCTCCACAGATGGAGAAGAGGAATGAAGAGGATAAGATCAGACGATGTTTCACCACGAAGGAAGGTAGAAGATTGTCCAAAACCACCCCCAAGGCCTGACCAGCCTTTGCAGCGAGCGTAGCGTTCCTCAAGTGGTCGACCTCGACAGCGAGTCGATCCTGGCAAGCGCGCTGCCCAAGGCGAGTGTCACGTGTTCGGCGCCACAAGGCGAGTGGTTCGGACATCCACCCAGCCGTCGGTGTTTTCGGAAAGGACTGCCACCAGCTCAGAGTTGCCTTCCTACGCCAGTACCTGAGAGTTGGACTGGAGATGCGCCCTGAGAGTTGGACATCCAGTCTTACAGACCATGCCACATCTTGAAGGTGAACGCTTTTGGACCTTGTGAGAAACGCATTCGTTTTGTTTGAGGTCCTGCCTCCGTGTTGCGGGCTGGTGAGGGCACGTTGAGGTGGGACTGTCCACTCCGTTGGCGGCACATGCGGGGTTTCAGTGCGTGTGCTTTTCTTGCTTGGCTTTGCTTCACAGAAGTTGGAGGGGTACACAAGTGACATCACACAGATCAGGCCCAGATCGGCCCTTTGAAAAGCAACGCCATTTAGCGGTAGAAAACAATATTCGCCGGATCAAAAAAGAATCCTGAGTACTGTAGGTCTCCTCGTCCATTGGTCCCCTGGTCCTTTTCCTGGTGCTGGCCTCATGGTGAGTTGGTCAAAAGCGAGAGAGTTGCGAAATTAACAACATGTGTGAATTTGGGGCGAATTCTATCGAATTCTACTTATAAAGAACGAGTACAGAACGAGTTTTTCTTGATTATACTCTCGCCGGTTGCCTTGGTCCTTCCGGCACTTTCTGGATGCCCTTCATTCATGGGGCAATCAGGTGTGTACTTTCCGATAATGATGTCTATTTTGTGGTGCCTTCTGAGTTTGGTGGCTCTTGATCTTTGGTCCGCCACCAAATCCGCACCACTTTTTCCAATGCATTGCGCCTGCCACGATTTGTATTTTTTGAGGTCACCCATCGCATCTGCCCTCGTGTAAGTCTCTTTGATTGTGTGTTGCAAGCATCCTTTCGTTCTTTTTTGTTCCTTGTCGGTGGATTTTGCGGATTGGATTGCTTTGCATGGGGCTTCCTGATCCTTTTGTCTCCCTGCTGTTGTCCTTTCCCTAGTCTTTTTGTCCTTTCATTGCTCACTGGGAATGACTATTATCCTTTCTGTTTCTTTTTGATCCCCGTCGAATATGTTTTGTTGATGCGATTCTATTTTTGTTGATTCCTCTATAATTCTATAGGCATTACCCACTGCACTTGGAGTCTCAAAGTAACTTGGAAAAGGGGTACAAATACGTGTTTTTCTATGGGGTCAGGTCACATTTTCTGCGGTAACAGTCCTATTCGGCATCAAGAATCATCATCACATTCATATGTTTGAATCCAGCGTTGACCTGGAGTTTGAAAAGTGGTAGAATTGGGTTGCGTCAATTCTTACCGTCCTGACCTGCAACTGAACCAGAGAGTTTGTGAGGCCAGAGAATGGGTTTTGTGACCCAAAAAAGAGTCAGGAGCCCCTAGTAGCTTCTTGTTCCTAGTAGCGATGCCATGAGACCCTAGTAGCTTCTTGTTCTTAGTAGCGATGCCCTTTTGCTCCTAGTAGCGAACAACCATTCTTTGAGGGTTGTGGCCCGAAGAAGGTTTGGCGGGTCTGCGGAAGAAGAGTTTTTTCGCCAGACAACGCTGCGTGCTGACGTCCAGTGCTTTGCTCCTGCGGCAGAATGAGCTGCTGGCATGATTTGTTGAGGATGCGGCGAGTTAGGGGAAGAACAGGACCAAACCACCGGAAGGAAAGATGCAGGGAGGCTCATGCAAAAGGGTGTGTAGATCAAAGACATGCTGTATGGATCTGTATGGCAGAAACAACATGGAACAATTTCGTAATATACAATATATCGCTATTTAGACCTTTGATCTTGACCATCTCCTATTCGTGGGTTGCCCTTTCCTGAATGATTTTTGGATGCTTTCCTGAATGATTTTTTGGGATCTGGCAGTCTGGTCTCGACTTTCCAAACAATGTGCCAACCATGGGGACGACATCAGCGTTACCAGCACCCACAGCAGCAGAAACAGCAACAGTGCAACAACAACAACAACAGCAACTCGGACAGCCCTGGTGGTTCAAACAAGCAACACAGGTTAATTGTTCAGTTCGACTTTTGAAAGGAATTATACAATTCGCTGTGCTTTGGCTGATGTCAGGTGGAACTGCGTCATGCAGTGGCCAAGCTACGGGAGGCGAGACATTAAGAAAGCTGTTTTAAGGAACCTGATAGTTAATATAGCGAGGGCCTCCCCTACTATCGATGGCCTCCAACCTACCCTGACCCTACTAGCGATGGCCTCCAACCTAGTAGCGATGGCCTCCAACCTAATAGCGAATTTGGTATCCCTCAAAGCTTGGAATGGCAAGCGGACTGAATCAAGGTTCAAGATTTTAAGTATGTGACAAAGCATGGATGTTATGATGTTCATATCGTTGATCTTTGCGTGGATGATTGAATGATGTTCAATCTATAGTCCGCGATTTTCCATCTACCGTCTAGCTATAGTCAACTTGCTTCACCCTTCATTTTGTAACTGAATAAGATATCACACACCTTTCAATCTGGTCCTAAATAACGTATGGCCTGTATGGCATTTATATATACTCTTTCCTTCAGTGTCGGCCCTTCAAACTCTCCAAACCTTTGATCGAGCTTGACTTGGTCAGCAAACGTGTTTTTTGGTGTTCCTCAGCTCTCGCAGCTGTCGCTAGCGTTGCTTGTCGCATTGCTGTCTTCCGCACTTCTATCTTGCTCCACCGGAGGCATCAAGCCACTCAGCCATCGCCAGGCTTTCGTTTGCATCACCCAACTTGGCCCTTTCCTCCACTGCTTGCTCACCGTCGCTTGACACTTGTCAGAGGTTTGCGCATATGAGACTTGCAGCGGTTCAAGGCGTTGGGTACAGTCTGAGACAACAATAGACAACAGGTATCAACAGATATTGTTTTCTGCTACAGAACAAATTTACATGCACAAAACAGCAGGTGTGCTTGTAGAGCATGCGCAAGGACGTTGAACAATAGGCGCTATTAGGCATTGGTCCTGCGCGACCATGCACATGAAATTCAGGCCTGTGATTCTGGTGGTGCTTCCGGTGGCACTTCTTGGAGTGTTTCTGACTCATCATCAGCTGAGCCCTTTGCGCCAATTCATTTGCATTCCTGCTGCCGCGACAGCGGCCTCTTTGAGTTGGGAGCTTTCAGGTGTCATTGATCGTTTCGGCGGGGCTCGACAATATTTCGTTGGATTGTGTAACAGGAGCTACACAATTCCGGATCTGTACGATGTGTTTACAGCTCATTCAATTGAGTGGGCAATTTTGGGGAAGAAGGATCCTTGGTGGAGCGTCATTTCGGCCGATGAATTCAGAGGGAAAGTGGACCTTCCGGCGGAACAAAAGCAGCGCTTCTACGACAGCGGGAAGATTCATCGTGATATGATTCTTCAAGATATACAAGTGAATGGGAGCAGGCCATTGGACAATCGTTCAATTTCTGTCCTGGACTTTGGCTGCGGTGTTGGACGCTTGGGCATGGCCTTCGCCAGGACTTTTGCAGAAGTGACCTGTGTGGATCAAAGCGTGTTCCATTTGGAAATCGCAAAGAAAGAGTGGCAGATTCAGAAAGAAAGCGACTCGGAAGCTCGAACGTTCGGGCAGCTGAATCTGAAAATGTCTGGGCCCGATTTGCTGGCTGCAGTGGCTGCAAAAAGATTTGATTTTGTGTATTCCCTGATTGTATTGCAACACATGATTTCACCTCTACAAATTGTCTATTTGGAACAACTGTGCGACATATTGAAACCTGGAGGCCAAGGCTGGGTTCACATTCCCACCCTGATTCCAAGAGGTTTGGCCTCCAGACCCTGTGACGTGCAGCTCTCCAAGAAGCAAGGCGGAATCCAGATGTATCATACTCCAAAGGTTTTTCTCGAAGAAAGCTTCAGATCTCGAGGGTGCAATGTCACCGTGCTGGAGAGGGGCGGCATTTGGATCAATCCAAGCTCGACGTCCGGCATCATCTTATTCAACAAGCCGTCACATGCAGCATCTCTTGAGTGACCCAGAATGACCCGTTGGAGTTCGGAGAAGGAGGATTGGTGCGATGTCATTTTCTGTTTGATTTGCAGCAACCTTTGGGTGTATCCCACCTGCCCGCAACCCGGATCACTCTGAAAGAGAACGTTTCACTGTGGCTTCCAGAGGTGGACAGTGGGAGTTCTGTGGACGTAACAATAGTGTTTGAATGACCCGAAAAGGAATTTCCTTTGGTGGTGCGAAATATAGTCGAACTGCATGGAGCTCTATCTATTATAAGATATATATATATATGTTATATATTATACTTTAGGTCCTTTTTCTGTAAATTCCTCCTGTCAGGCAAAGTCCACTTGAAGCCTCAGCACATGAATGGTTTTGCAAACATGTTTCAGAGTGGGAGGCTAGATGCTAGAGTCTTACAGGGTTTTGTGCAGTATGCAGTATTCTCAAAAGGTTTGGTTTAAACAACAAATTGTCATTTGCACCGTTGCTGTGGAGCCCCTAGTAACCGAGTGCGCGGAGAGATAGATGTGTTTGAAGACATCACCGTCAGTGTTCTATGGCCTTGAAGTGAAGTTGGATGCCATTTCACCAGGCTGCACCAGGGAACAATATAATGAGCCATTCCTTTGATGCTAAGGCTTAGTGATATGCAAGAGAACAAAGTAAGACCTAAAAGTAGTCAACCGTGTAACAAACCCATGCTAAAGAAAGCAACTCAAAGCCGAAGACCTCCTCCGATTGTCCCACTCCCTGCGCAGCATTCGGCGTTTATTTGGGGTGGACCATGTTGGTAGTCTGTACACATGCTATCTAGACTGTTTGGTATTTGCCAGAAATCAAAGGATTCACCAGTTGATGAATCAACCCCAGCTCTTGTGATGCTTTTGTCATTTCCTTTTCTATCCTTTTCTGTTTGACTCTTTTTTTGGAGACGCCTCTCACAAAACAATCTTGATCCGCCAGGAGTTGGCCGCCTCTGCGGCCGAGCGAGTCCGTTTGGCCCTGGAAGAGTGCGAAAATCCAGGCCGAGGACATGGAATCATGACGCGAGAGCGGGGGTATGACAAGAGTTGGAGATTTAGGACTTCTGGGGGAGTGACTAAGTCGTTTTCAGACCTGCAAAACATCCCATCACAGAACTTAATTCTGTCGCAGGTTGTGCAGGTTGTTTTCTGAAACAACACATCACAAAACCAAGTCCTGAGGTAAATGACCAGCGCCTTAACCAATGTAATGAACATTTATTTCACGCGCTGTTTTCAAGAAGAATAACTTGAAGGTCGGCTTTAGCCCTTTAGCCGCTTTAGCCTATTCCAGAATCGTCCTGTCCATTTGTTTGTTGCCTTCACTGTCACACAGAGGGATGATTGCTCCCCAAGCCCTCACGAGCACAGCAGCTGGATGTCAGGTGGTGTCTTACACTTGCCCTGGCGAAGCCTCTTCACACCCGAGGCCAATGCGAAGTTGTTGCTGGCCCGCTAGGAAATAGATTTGAGTTGGCTAGCCGCTAGCCTTGGCAGTTAGACATGACTTGCGAAGGGGTTCCTCATAGAGTTCACCTCAGATACGAAGGTTTGACGCATTGCCAATTGCCATGAAGCTGGTCATCGCAGCTTGACGAGACTGGTATTCGAGAATCCTAGCAACATCTATCAACACATTCAACACATTGGTTAACGGGGACAGTGCAAGATAAATTTGTCAGCAAGTTTGGTGGTTCCTGACAGAGCACCTCAAAGACCTGGTGATATATCAGTGAAGTTTGAAAGTAGATGAACAGTAATCACTTGACCACTTGATGACTCCAGATCATGAAGAGTTGGTTCATGCACACCAATCCAGTTGAGAACCCCCCAGATCAGACCCAAACAAAGCAGTCAGAGACCTAATCTCGTCCAGGACTTGCAGTCAGAGACCCAGCCAGCTTTTGTACAGGACGATTTCGTGACCGGTGCTTTTTTGCGGATGGATTTCTGATGACCAACGGCGCCATGGGCCTCTGGTGGGTGCGTCGTGGCCGCGCAAAACCGTCGTGGCCACCCATCCGCCGTTCGCGGAGCGAGGTTTCCTGTTTGGCTCGGGGACTACTGCATGCCAGATGAGGCCAGCAACGCAAGCAACGGCAGGGCTGATGACAACGAGGGCCTGGTGTTCAACAGCAGGTGCAGGATGGCACAGGGTCAACGCCACCTGTTGGTCCACAGCGTGTGCAGCCCATCATGGTCTTGGCATGTTGGGTGATACAAAGTCATAGGAAGGGAATCAATGATTATCGCAACACATAGCAACCATCTATAACACCCTGAACGTGGATATTGATTCCTTACGATGCAGCGCAGAGACCAGTCATGGTTTGGGGGGTACCAGTCACGATTCGTCCCTTCCGTCGAGTCAAACAGGTCGACTTCGCCCCATGAAGCCGTTCCCAAATGGGAAATACGTTCGTAGCGATGCCCTACTGTAGCTATACGTCCCGTAGCGTCCTTGCTACGTTCGTAGTATTGCCAGGAGCTTAGTAGCTTCTTGCCTGCAGGCCCATGAAGCCGCCAAAGAGCGTTTGGGACAGCTCCTAGGTCCCAGATCTCAGTGATGGGCCGGCAATGCCATGCACCGTTGGGATTGTTCGGTCACCGTTGAGACTGTTCCCATTCCCCTTTTGCTTCGAGTCTTCCGCCACCAGCTGAGGCATCCAGGAAAGTGCTTTGGAAGAGGCGAGGTCGGTCGGAGCCGTCCAAAAGCAACGTGTCATTGACCGAGTGGACTGGTTTCGGACCGGGTTGACGGGTGCCTTGGACCGGGTCGGATCAATGTGACGCTTTAGAAACCACCGAAGGGCATGCGAGGCGAAAGGAATGTGATGCAAGAAAGGTAGAAAGGTGGATATACCCCCACAACGGCACCTTCTTGAGCAGGTAGCCGCTTCTCCTGCAAAGGTTTCTACCACGGCCCACGGCAAATAAGATCAAATTTGACTCCAATGGATAGTCTTCACTTGGTATCCTGAGTCCATCCCTTCATGAAAGGCGCCGGAGTATCTGGATGAGCACACCATCCTGAAGGCCAAGCACGAGGGCACCTACCGACGCTTGAAACGATCCCAGGGCGACAGCTCACCGCGATCGTGGGGGTGGCAGTGGGGCGATTGGAGTGCTTTTTCAGAGACCTCAAGTGTGCAGAAATTCTGCTATCAGCAAAGGACTGAGAAGATATTGAAAGGTAAACTTAGAGGAGGAAAGCACTAAGGGGTTTAGGTGAGTCAACCAGGTTCTGTTATGTCTTCGCTCAAGAGTAGTTGAGGACACCTGCATGATCCTGCATGTGTGAGAAGCATGCGGTAGATTCTTCAAGGACGGTTGGTTTCCCGCTCTGCTCCAGACCAAGGACCACGCACGATGGAGCAAGCGAAAGCTCCACCTGCCAAGGAGAAGGAGAAGGCCGTTTCCATGGAGGTTTTCTGCAAGAACGATCAAAGCAGTTCGGAAGGATACATCAGATATACCTGCACCCCGTCCAGGGGTGTCCAACCAGGGGTGTCCAATACGGGGTGTCCAATGGAGTTCGAACCGTACCAGCACATAGAGGGTAGTCTACGGATGGTCCCGGTGAAGGCGTTTCGTGTCTTTACACGTCGCGAATCATTCACGAAGGCACAGGGCTCTACACCTGCCGTGCCAGCGCTCGCGGCATGTCCGGAGCCTTTGAACGTCACCCTGGTAAGCCATGTCTGACAAAGAAGTGAAGGCATCGTTTGTTCCTCTAGTGTGTGTTGCGGTGTGTTTCCAGCCATCACCTCCGATGTCCGAAGAGTCCCTAATCGAACGAGCTCATGGAACCAATGGACGTCTCAACAGCTTGCAACTGGTCCTGAGCGAACTGAGTGAAAGCGAACCGGCAAGGCGTAGGGATGGTGGTCCTGATCCTGGCCGTGGCAATTCCCAAGTTGCTGTGAGGCAGAAGTTCTCCAGCTGCGCGGATCTTGGGTGGGATATAAGCAGTACAGGAAAGCACGAGTTCCATCTGGTTGGGTATAATTATATAGCTGTGAGCTTCTTATTCGCCCCTTCTCATACTTTAATTGTGTTGTGGGAGTGCAAGTCAACTTGCTCACAAAGCACGCGCAAGCCTCACGTCATGTGCCCTGTCTCAAAGACAACCTGAACCTTCATTTCTAGCAGCTCTAGCACTTTTTGGGGCAAACCTAGGGTTTGAGCACTTGTTGGACTATTGTAGCTGTTTAAATGAAATGCGCGCTTTTGGGGGTTTTGAAGGGCCTTGAGCATTGTTTAAGATGCTGAAGACTGTTTTCTTGGGCCAAAGGTGGAAACCTGCTGCAAAATGCACACAAATTGAAAAGTGGTGAACCACCCCAAAATGGGTGGAGATGAGAGGGCCCCATGCACAATTGTCGAGTGATTGTAGTGTTTTTTGCTTAAATGAGCACTGTTGTCATGAGCGATTTTTGGCAGAGAAGGAATCTTCAGGAATTTGCACCGCACATACCTTGCGATGATTTGCGATGTATGTCGAGTATGGAAACGTTTTGGAGATTGCTTCAGGCCACGCTTACTGAAAGGACTTGTGAAGACATGGCCAAACGAGTCTCATCGTACTTTGACCTTCGAGATGCAGTGTATCTCCTTTGCAGGTCGTGGCAGAAGCGAAGAAGATGATAGATAGTGGCCAAAAAGTGTGGCTCAGCAGGGGGGGTTGTTTGACATGCATGAAGATTGTGATGTATTTGGTTTTGGTCCATAAGACCAGCATCATGTGCTTTCACCACCAGGTGTTCCATTTCCAGTGGATGAAACCACCTCCTAGTCGAGTCCTCATCCAACATACTCAGCCGGTGTGAAATACCCGCTGTCGCCTTTGATTTCTGTCATCTGTCACGTAGCCCACGTAGCCGCTTCTCTCGGACGATCCATTTCTTCGTGACGAGGCCAGGAGGCCGTGGCGGAAAACGGTCACCAGTGGAAGCAGGTGTTGCAGTAGATGTGCAGGTCCAAGCAGTAGATCTGCAGGTCCATCAGCTCCTCTCATAGCTCTCCCCTCACCAAACAGAGAAAAACACATGCGAACAAACTCACAGAATCTGATGATGTGCAGGTTTGATTCTTTGGGGTGATCAGTGCTTCATGCCATGTGCAGGTTTAAACTCTTCAATGCAGCTTAGACTGGTGCCGCGTGTCGTCCTGGGCTCAATCATATCTTTGGTGACGGACTTCTTTTTTGACA